TCAGCTATCTCATAGTCGCTATAAACAATATCCCAAGCACCTTATGATTCAAGAATTATTTTCATAAGAATAGACCAACTATTATAGTTTCCTTTTGTAAGAAGAATATAATGAAATAGAAGTTAATGTTTCTTCATAATCTAGCTCTGATATCACTTTGTTAAAAAATTAAAATATTAGAATTCTCACAGAATAAGAAATGAGAGGAAAGACAATTGAATAACCTTTATAAGAAGGGTTTTTTTTACATCTTCATTGAATAATGCAATAACTATTTATAGCATTTACATATACAATAGCTTAAGCTCACTCATTATTATTAATAACCCTTCAATTAATAAACTAAGTTTATAAACTCAATAAAACTCATATGCTTAATTAATTCAACTACTTGCATTTAATTCTTTATTAAAAACAAGCTTAATTTCTAACAATGCTAAATTCATTATTTATTTTTATACTCAAAATTTTGTAGGAAAAAGGGCTATTTTTTCTTGAATTTTATATAAATTTTCCTTATTTCATTTTCTTTTAAAAACTGCTATATCTAAAAAGATAATATATAGGGTGATATCATCATGGATATCATCATGGATATCATCATATTACATAATAAAGAAGAATTGTGGCTTCAAGAAAATGTAATTTAGGTTGATACATCATTACAAAAGGATGTCTTTCCACATATTTTTTCCTTATATTTACCACTACCATTTAATGACAAAAGGACTTCTAATTGAACTTCTATCTGTCTCTTTGTAGCTTCAGCAATGTTATTTGAGGTGTTTAAAAAAAATTGTAATGAATTTAGTAATTTAATGTCATGCAACATGGAGATCATATTGGAAGTTTAAATTCGTCAGTTGTTGGAGGAAAAAGTTGCTCTGGATCTGAAAGCGATAAATTTCCCTTTAATTTTCATTATTCTCTTCTTTTCTTTTTTTTTTTTTGACTTAATCCTTTTTGGGTATATATAGTCTTTTTATCTTACTTAATTGTGTAGTCTATAGTCGAACCTGGAGGAAAATATTAAAGCACTAGAGAACGAGAACGATGTTGGATCATGACAAAGGTAGTCAATTGTGTTCTTAGCATGTGTCAATTATGCTCATTTTATTTGGAAGATGGTGCTTTGTTGAAAGTGAGAACCAAGAATTTAGTTTGATTTTATGTTGCGTTAAAACCCTTTATGTGATCTGCATCTAGAATGTGTTGGGTACAATCTAGATCTTTCTTAGTGCGGAATCTCGATATTTTCATTCTCATCTTATATCTACATCTGAGGCAATAATACATAATAAATTAATTGTATTGTTTTATTTTTTTAATAATATTGATTATTACAAGGTAGTATGTGTTTAAAAAACTTTCAATCTTTTGACAATGAACGCTCAAACATCTCGGTATAGTGTTATGTAGTGTTAAAATTTTAGAGGTGAGCGTTCAATCGAGTTGAGTCAAAAAATTTTGAGTTATTCGAGTTAACGAGTCTTATTTTGTAAATCAAAGTTGGCTTAATATTTTTTCTAGTCGAGTTGAGTTTATAAAATTCAAGTCGAGTCAAAATTTTTAGTTTCTATTTAAAATTCTCATTTTAACCTAAAAATATTTATATGCATGTAAAAATTATTTTTGGTTAAAAAATTATTGTTAAGCTCAATAGCTCAATGATCAAACCGAATTCTAATACCACTAAATGTAACACACTTTATCTGACCTAAAATAAATAGATCAGATCCAAAAAAACCCTTAACTTGTCTCCAAATATCCAACCCAAAAATATTATTGAAATTGTCCCTCGCTTATGCTGATTTCAAAAACTAACAATATCTGAAATAAATTCAATAATAATATAATTCGAAAAGCAATTGCATATGAAAACCAAAATTCATTGCTCAATGTCAAAATAAATAAAATGTTTAATGTCTCAAAATAATTATGAGTAATAAATAGTACCATAATAAAAACACTAATAAAATTTAAAATAGAAAATTTGAGTAAATCTCATACTAAAATTAATAATGAAAAATGAAATAACAATATAAATCTCCAAGTATCGATTTATCTAAACTCGAGAATCTGAAGAAAAAAATTAAAAAGGTGTAAGATATTAAACTTAGTGTATCTCTAAAATGCAAAAAATCACAATTCATATTATAGTATGAATAACCAATAATAATCATAACAGTGGTTAACATAATTTAAATTTTATGCAAATGATTATGCACTCTTACGCCTGTCGCACCCTTATGCCTATCGCACCATCCGAAGAGTATGTCCCTCAAAACCACTCTAACTACATTCATACCATATTAAGTAAGGTTCACCACAAAGAAAGAGACCACTGAATCTGAAATTACATTCACCCCGTCGAGTGAATGCTTTTAACTTTCCATATTAATCTCAACTCAGTATGACATGAAAATATTATATACAAATATGAATTTCGATCCAACTCAAATATAAAAATTATGTAATCAAATATTTTGAAGCATATATTCTAATTATGATAGTTCAACATAATCAAATATTCTAAATGCACAACACATATTTCGATTCTGACAAATCAATATGTATTACATGATATTTTTCTGAATTACATTTAACACAATCAATTGCACAGTCAAGCACGCTTTCAATCTTCAATCTTCAATCAACCAAGCAAGCAATCAATTAAAATAAATATAGCACCGAATAAACACACATATCGACAAAATACTAACGTTAATCGTAGCGTCTACCATGATCAACTCAAGATGGTAAGACCGAATTAGTTACTATATAAAAATTAACCAATAATTTACTATTTTAATTTAATATCATAATTATATCTAAACTAATTACTCAAGGTCAATCCTCGTAACACAACTCGATTCAAAGTGAGTCGACAACGATGGAGTAGGCGATAAATCTAATTCTGGTTCGATAACTCTTTTAAAAAGTACGATGACCGATTTTAACCCAATTAACCAATTTTGGATAATTAACACAATTAATTAAATTCTTGATGCGAACGTGAGAACCTGACGAAGGGGTATGGAAACGGGAATGTCGGTGACAAAATCTCATCGACAACAGTCCCTAAGGCCGACGATCTCATTGTCGGCCTTGCTGTGGCCTTAAACGGAGGCAGCGACTTCCACGGTGAACCTCGTATTGCCAAACGATGACAGAAGCGGCCTCCCAGCCACGAACCAGGCTGGTTAAGCCTTCCATGGCGAAAACCCGATCCCACGGTGGCCACTAAAGGCCGAATCGGACCACAGCGGCGCGGATACGAGCCTAGGCTCGTGGTTTTGGTGTTAATGCAGTTCCCTATCGACGCCGAGGTTTGGGGTCACGACAAAGGGGCTTTGGGCGAAGATCGATGACCTACCATTGCCAAGAACGACGACGCGACGAGAGAAGCGAGATAGGTAGTGGCCGCGATGGAAATAAAGAAAAGGGAAAAGAAGAACCGGTGAATGAGCGACGCGGGTTTTACAACAGAGAAGGAATTGTGGTTAATAAGAAAAGGTATAATCACAGATTTAGACCTTGATATTTTCTAGAGTTTTCGAAATAGGATAAACCTTTTGTTTTATTTGTAAAACGATCATCTAAATTCCTCAAAATTTTACTTTAGTCCCTAGGTCCAATTTAGGGATTCAAACAATTTTCTTCAAATTTTTGGGTTTCAATTTGGGGTAAAAACGGTGTGTTACAATAATCATATACAATATATATATGTTTTTCATATTTTTATATGTAATATACATATATCATATAGATTTGAGGGACTCGACTCAAACTTAAAAATCAATTCATTAATTACTAAAAAACTTTAGTTTTTTTATTTGTATTTTATGACTCGATTCAAACTTGAAATTTTTCGAGTCAAGTCGAGTTTTGATCTCCCGTAATTTTTTATACTAACTTTTTACAGAATTCCACCAACGAAACTATTTATATCCTTAATAGTGATATTTGAAGACTAAAAACGCAGGTACGGCCTTTTCACCCTTGTACTTCAAACTTAAAGGCTTCATTTGGTAGCAGCAGATTATTTGGATGTGATTCATCCCCAAAGTTGATTTCTCAATTGATAGTATCATCAACTTTAGGTTGCACAAAAAAATTCAACCTTTTGTTCTGATGGGGAAATTCTACTACAGGTGGTAGGTGGAAGCAAGAAAATAAGCGGCTAACAAGTACTGCCTCTGGCCTGCAGTTACATATCCAAAACCGTGAGAGGAACATCACCTGTAGCTCCCCATCAGATGAAGTTAAAAAGGTTTGCTTCCTTTCAATTTTTTAGCTCCCCTTTTCTTTGGTGTGTTGACTTGAGCGACAAGATATGCCAGCAGGACATTCAACAGTCATCGGAATGTCTGATCCTCATCCTCACTCCATCGGCAATGGCTCTCTATCGGCTCCAAAGTTGGATTCTCTAGAAGTTGCTGAAATTAATGAGGAAAAATTTTCCGGTTGGGCAATCTCGCCAAGCTTCCCAACTTACACTCTAGTAGAGTCTTGAGGACTCCGGGGAAATTGTGCAAATTCCTCTGGATGAAACTGATTCAAGGGATTCAGAATCCCAGGCTATTGAGAGTTATACTGTATCACTCACAGATGCTCCCCTAATTTCCGGTTAATATCATTTGTCGTCTGGTTAACAATAACAACACTTCCGGTTCGGAATCTTAGCTTATATGCATTACTCATTTACCATTATTTCCTGGAATATACATTTACTTCTGAACTAGAGATTTAAGATAGGCTCGTCATCGACTCAGAAAAACAGATCTGCCGAGACCCCGAGAGGAAAATGCTGATTTTATGTTAGGCAAATGTTGTGGATAACATTCATACTTGTTTCACACCATTTGCAATAATTTCAGAAGTAACAAAAACATGCTAGCTGGCTGTATTTGGTGACAATTAATAGTTTTCTTGTATTTGATATAGAAGAAAAGCCATTCTTTATCTGTTTTTCTTCTAGCACTTTCTACAGATCAGAGCCCTTAAACAAATTTTCCTAACAATCACAGGGAAGAATTTAACTGTTAGAGAAAGATGCAAAGATGAAGTTCTAACAACATGAAACTTGAATCTTCGCCAGCATATTTAAATCTTAATTCACAACATCGACATCCTGGCTACAACAATCACGGGGTTCGTGTATCTGAGCCCTTGGACTTGTCCTCCGAAGAGGGCCGGCTCTCAGGCTCAAATGGCCGAATTTCTTCAATCATCCTAGTCACTTCCTCCATTGTAGGCCTCATGTCCGGCAATCTTGCCACGCAAGTCATTGCTACCTGAAGCATCTGCACCAGTTCTTCTTCGATATTTGGATACTTCATCAGCTCTACATCAAACACTTCGGCCGTCCATTCCTCTCTAACAACAGACTGAACCCACCTTGGAAGGTCGACCACATCTTCACGCCCTGATGATTGGATTACCGCTTTGCCTGTCAGCATCTCTAGGAGTAGTACACCAAAACTGTAGACATCGGACTTTTGAGTAAATTTTCGGGTTTCAATCACTTCTGGAGCTCGGTATCCCGCACTTCTAGATGGAACCTTTGGGAAAGTCATTAGAGGAGTCAATCCAAAATCAGAAATGCAGCCATGTAAGTCCTCTGTGAGGAGGACATTGGAGGACTTGATGTTGCCATGGATGAATTTTCCACCACCAGAAGAATGGATGTAGGCAATGCCTTTTGCTGCACCCATGGAAATCTTTACCCTCGAATCCCAGTCTAGAAGAGGAAGTCCTCTTTCTCGGCTTCCTGTCATGAAATCAAGAACAAAGAACTGTGAAAAGTTACGTTACTCCGACGAATAACTAAACATAAATATTGTATTTGTACCCCATATCCGACGCACATTGCTAGTAACATAGGTGAAAACTGATATGTCAAGACATGATTCTATTGTAATCCAGGAAAGAAAGAGAAAATATATAGTTGAAGATGATAGATAAATGTACCATGCAATAATGAGGAAAAACTTCCGGCCGCTTTGTAGTCGTATACCAGCAACTTCTCATCCTTCGAATAGTAATAGGCACGAAGGGGCACAAGATTTGGGTGCAGACCAAGCCTTCCAACAATTTCCATTTGTTGTTCAAATTCTCTTTTCCCTGCACCTACTTCTTTCAACCTCTTCACAACCACTGTTATTCCTTCCTCCAAAATTGCCTTATACATCGTACCATAACTCCCTTTCCCAACCACTTCAGCCGAAGCTCTCAACAAATCCTCAAGATCAAAATTGTATGAACAACCTTCAAAGAAAACCAACTTGTTCTTCTCTGCCTCTTGCACCCCACTCCCAAAATCTTCCTTCGGTTTCTCGCTCCTTCCGCCTTTCATTTTCGATGTGAGTGTCCTGCCTTGATCACGCTTTTTCTTTAAACGGCAAAGTACAAGCATTAGCAACAAGAAAAACACCAGTGCTGCAGAACCTGCAACTGCTATGGCAATTATGGCATGCCTACTTAATTTCTTCTGGGAGTCCCCTCTCGGGTTTTCCGGCACTGTTGGGGGAGGCAAGTAAGTGGGGGTAGGCGACGGTGAAGGGGTGATTGTAGGACACTGGTTAAGTGGAGGCCCACACAAATGGTTTCCAACGAAAGAAGAAGCAGAGAACCTTTGGAGGGAAGATGGGACTGATCCATTTAAATCATTGTAGCTCAAATTCAACAGCTTAAGCCTTGGAAGATTGAAACTGGGAATGAATCCTGTAAGGGAGTTATTCTGGAGGTTTAAACTAGTCAGGTTTGTTAGATTTTGAATTGCAGTCGGAATGTTTCCTGTCAAGGAGTTGAAAGAGAGATCAAGAACCTCCAGATTGGGAGGGACAGTCGAAGTGATGTCACCTGAAAAGTTGTTGCGCTGAAGGTATACGTAACGAAGAGAGGAAAGGGAGAGTACATCAGACGGAAGGTTCCCACTGAGACTATTCGATCGAAGGCTGAGGATCATGAGAGCATCAAGCTTTCCGAGTGTGTTGGCTGGAATTGGACCACGCAGTCCAACACCAGGAAGGTGGACACCTAGTACACGGGATCCGTCCTTGGTGCAGTTGATGCCAACCCAAGTGCACACCGGGGTAGCAGCACTCCAGTTAAGTTTACGGCCATGGGGAATGGTGGCAGAAAATTGTAAGAGGGCTTGCTCATCGGAGTTCAAGTCGGAAACTGTTTCCGAACTACAGCAAAGGAACAGGCAAGCAAATGCAGCAAAGTAGGAAGGCAGCTTCATTTCAGCAGTCTCCATTCCCCTGGCAAACCAATGTAAATTTAGAACACTTTAATCTAAAGTAAAGCAATCAACAGTCCTACAGCATACAATGAGAATACAAACTATGATATGAGAACAATTGCACAAAGACAGTAATAATAATCAATTATATTTATAAAAATTAAACGGTTCAAATGACAATATGAAAAATCTAAAACTACAAAGATTAAAGACATATGTATAACCCAACCAACAAAAAGGAGATAAAAACAATGGCTAGTCAATGCTCCTTTTTCAGCTGAAATAGGGCAAAAGCAGTGAGTGACAAGATATATGGTTTTAATTAATTAGAGGATATCTATCAAATCAAGCTTTTGGCTTCTTATCCTTATTAAACACATCAAAATTCATATAAATATTATAAAAAGTAGTTTAAACATGATTAGAACTGAATTTCCCTCTATACTTCCAGTTGCATATGCAAAATGTATTTGTCAATAAGCTAAAAAAATTTTGAGCAGATACTAATTTCACCCCAAATTATTCAAAAAAAAAAAAAAAAACTCAAATTCGACTCAATTGACCGATTCCGAAACTATCTAAACTCCAAATAATATATGTATATGACCCGAAACTGAATTTCCTAAATTGAACCACAACGAAACCAACAAACCTGCTCAATTGAGAGTTCTTTACAGACTTGGTCAATTTTTTTAAATGAACTGAAAAGAAAAAGAAACCAGAATTATGAATTTTCCCGAAAACCAGAAAGTGAAGAACATAATGCTGGTGCAATATTTAATGAAACAAATTAATATTGAAAAGAAAATCAGAAATGAGTTGAAATTTATACTATGTTTGGTTTTATTCCAGAAGAAAAGTGTAGATTCCCTTAGGCAAATAAAGAAGCAACACCACATTCTCAATAAATCACAGTTTCCGAGAAATCAAATACACAGATTTCCAGTTAAAAAAACAACCAAATTTCGAAAAGCAGAGCAGATTTCTTCCTTCCGCTTGAACCAAAATACATAAACAAAAGAACAAACAAAAGTATAATGAGAAAAAAAAGTTGAAACAAACCTTCAGCAGCCGAAGAAGCTAAAATGGAAAATCTGGGTTTTGGAAATTGGGTTCCTTTAACGCCATTTCTGCAAACAATAAGCTCGCCAAAAGAGAAACAGAAGCAAAAAATAGGAGGAGATGAGTAGCAAAATTCTGGGTTTTCGGGGAACCGACAGTGAAGGCTTGTTTGTAAAGCTAAGGTTTCTAGCTAAAGCTTGGGAATTGCAGTGCAGAGCAGATCTGGGAGAAGGTAGATGTTGGGATTGGAATCTGAAAATTGTTTGACCCAAACGAATTACAAATGGGGCATTGCTTCCTAAATAACTCATTAGTGAGTAGGTGGACTCCTAGTCAAATTTTCCTCCTCGCTTGCTAACGAATTCCTCGCCATCAACAACTGTTTCTCAATAATAATAATAAAATGTTTTATTAAGGGGTAAACTATAGGTTTAGTATCTAAAGTATTACTTTTGTTTTGAGTTGGTACCTGAACTTTATTTTTTTACAAAACTATATTTAACATTTATAATTCGAGGGGCATTTCATAATTCGGAGGTCTCCTACGAATGCTGCTCTCAACCTGGTGTTGGGGGCAGCCTACTATCTTACCTCTCCTTACCCCATACATATGGGAAAAAAGGGACAATCATTTATATTTAGATTTTTAGTATATCGCCGTTAAAAAATTAACAGAATTACTAACATGGTATTTTTTTAATGATGATATGATATAACCTTATGATGACACGTAAAAATCACCTTTAATTTTTTAACGATGGGTATCAAAAATGAAATCTAAACTAATGTTAGTTATAATTTTGAAAAATAATAAAGTTTTAGTGTCAAAACGAAATAAGTATAAAAATGTAAATACTAAATTTATAATTTACCTTTTATTTTATTACTTTAGTAGTCATCCATACTTCACTCCTACGTACTCGATTAACAAAACAGCAACAATAATAAATAATCTTCTCTTATATCAACTCAATTAACAAAATAATAATAATAATTAATTATAAAAATGAAACTGTATGTTACTAAGATTATATGAGCAATTATTTTCCTACCTACTACCTTTATTATTTTCCTTTTAACAATTTTTTATGTATATAAAACAGTTAATTTTATTAAAAAAATTAAAATTATAATGATAGTTTATATTTTAATATGAACTAAACACATAATTAGGATATTTCCTATCATAATTAACATGAAGTTATATACTTAAGATCATATAAGAATCATAAAAGAAAAAAGTAAAAAAAAATATCATCCAAAAATATTCAAACAAAATCAAGGTAGAAATATATATGACTGCATCAACAAATGAACCATAATAGTATATCAAACACCTGAAAAAACATCAACAATCACGAATCAAAATCGAGTGTTATGAGAAAACTATCTTCAAACATAAACCACATATCCAAATTTATTCAATGATCCAAAACATAACAGATCTACATGATAATAACTAAATGTCATCTTGATTAGTCGAGAAGATATCAAATTCAATCTTAAAAATATATCAAAAAATAAAAAATGTGTCATAAAAAAATATATCATAAAAATAAAATTATTAAAAATAAATAATAATAATAATTGATAACCAATACCAAAATCGGTTGCCTCACCAACCAATAAAACTTAAGAAAAAGGCCAAACCACAAGTGAAAACCGTTCGAGAGAAAAAAGTGAAAACCGCCCATCACATCTTATTTTCTATAATTATAGTTTATAAAAGAATTGTTTTTGGGTTGGAACATTATTTATAATCATGAGATTATTAAAATATAATATTATTTCATATATCCATAAAAACGTTTTATTATTGTTTTTAATTAATTCAGAAAAATATAAAATTGAATTGTTTAGTTAAAAGATTATAAAATTGACTAAAAGTAATCTTATGAAATTATTATTGTGATACGATTTTTAATAAATTTAAATTTAATATTAAATTAAAAATATTTTCATGAAAATTTATATGACTATATGAGTTCTTAATTTTTTCTAATTATTACCATTTTTATATAAAACTAGCTTTGAGGACTTTATTTGGACAACTGAGATTATCTTTGAGAAAAAGATTAATAAATATAAAATTATTTTACACATTTTAGGAAATGTTATATTATTTTCTTAGTTAATTAGACATGAATATAAGATTATAATATTTGGTTTTGAGAATATAAAAATTCTTAGAATCAAATTTTACCACATTATCCATGAAATATATTTTACTTTTAATTAGTTTAACTTCTAATATTAAATTAAAGGGAAAACAATATCATATATCATTGAATTTTATCCGCTGACTCGTTTATACCACTCAACTTTTAATTTTACCAATTATAGAATTAAACTTTAGTTTTATATTCAATATGTCACTCCGCCGTTAATTCACTGATGGGACAATGACATGCTTAATGGTTGCTAATGTGGCATGTCACACATCGTTTTGGTGCGACTATTTTGATGCCTAAAATAAAATTGTTTTAGACACTGAACTTTCGGGGTGTATAAAATTTGACACTAAACTTTTAAACATTTAATTTTTTGACACTACACTTTTCGACCGCTATCGACAGTCAATCATATCCGTCATGAATCAGCTTTTGCAACACAATCAGTACCAAAATGTTTTCATTTCACTCATCATTTTTTCTCATATGATTAGTTTTCCATGAAACTCACTCAAAATCGATGAAAATAAACAAAGAAAAATATCTCATTTTTTAGATGTTTGGATACTTTCGTAGATTTATGGGATTTGGAGTGTTTGTTTGTAAATTTGAATGGTGAAAAGAATTATTTCGAGAAAAAAAGAATATAAAAAACTAGCCTCGTAGGACGATCATTAAAAGAGATTGAATAATTAATGAGTCAGACTTTTAAATGAATTTTCGTCAATTTTTAGTGAGTTTAGTGAAAAACTAATCATATGAGAAGAAAGAGGAGTGAAATATGAATGTTTTGATGTCGATCTTTCCATGAAATGTGACTAATGATGGATGGTGCTTAGTTGTTAGCTTCGATCGAAAAATGTAGTGATAAAAAAAGAAAAATTGTTTAAAAGTTTAGTGGCAAAATCAATACATCCTAAAATTTAGTGTCTAAAGCGACGTCGTTTTAGGCATCATAACAGCTAAACCAAATTAAACGACGTCGGTTTGGCGTGACAGGCCATGTCATAGTCTCGTTACTAACTTAACGTTAGAGTGGTATAATTGAATGTAAAACTAAAGTGTTATAATTGGAAAAATTAAAAGTTTAGTAGTATAAACGAGTCAACAGACAAAGTTTAGTGGTATATGAAGTACTTTTCCCTAAATTGAAAATACTTACACAAAAATTCATAGAATTATTTTCCTTATACTATCTAAATTTTGTAATAACTATATATATTTGTTATAAAAGCCATAATTTTATTTAAAAATATAAAATATTAAAATTATAATAAAGATTTACAACTACAATAGTAAACTAAACAAATAATAAGGATATTTTCCTATAAATATTAACACAATAAATTAGCCACTTAAAATCACACAATGACGAAAAGGTTAAAAAATTTGATCAAATAAACTCGAACAAAAGGTAGATAAGAATACATCTAACTGTATCAGTAAATGACCCATAAAAGATGATCAAACTATTGAAAGATCATCGATAAATTATAAAATCAAAGTCGAGTAACGTGAGAAACCTACCACGAATGCAAATCGCGTATCTAAATCTAATTTAAGGGTTCAAACCATGAAAGATCAACACAATAAAAAATAAGTGACATCTTGATGAGTTATGGTGATGTCAAATCCAACCATAAAAGATAAACGAAAACAATAGTCAAATGACCAAAAAGATACCAAAATATAAAGAAAAATATGTCATAAAAACATAATTATTAAATTTTTTAAAATATAATATAATATAATAAAAGAAAAGAAAAAACGAATATTAAGGTCGACGATCAATTTTAAAACTGATATTGTCGCGTGTTACAAAGATAAATAAGAAAGAGGCTAAAGACGGCATAAAGACAACAAAAAAAAAAGAGAAAATTAGGGTTTCAAAAGTAATAATTTTATATTCAACATATTATTATTAATATAATTAGTATATCAAATAATATTTAAAAGTAAATTTTGCGTATATGTAATATTTATCTAATATATTCACTCAAATCAAAATTATTTAGTTAATTAATAAAATTATTAATGTTTTAAATAATTTATTGTCAAAACTAAACTTTTTATTAATTTTCAATATGGTATAAAACACAAAGAACTGTTAATTACTAATGTAATAGTTAGGAATGATATCCTTGCAATTTTTTATGAAAAATCGATACTATTGGTAATGTGTCATCGCCACATGGGTAGAATGCTTGCAAGTTATTTAAAAAAAATGTTTTTTTTTTAAATAATTACCCCACTAATAAACAACTCTTCCAATAAGGCACCCCAACTGTAAATCATTTGCTATACACTAATGTTTGATTCATCAAATATAAGATGTTTCATAAATAAAAAAAATATGTGTTAGGATATTAAATGTTGAAAATTTAAGTACTAGATTTAAAACATTTATGCTCGAACTGAAGTATAATAAGGTATTCAGACTCACTTTTTAATTTAAAATGCATGAGATTAAGTTTAATTTCACATAAATAAATCAAATTTGAATTATTTTTAAACAAATTCAATTAAATTACAAACACAAATGCTCATATATGTAATCATTTTCCATGTATACCAATTAGCAACCTCTAACATCACAAGTATTGTTAGTTTCTAGTGGTGTCTCTTAAGAGTTTGAAAAAGGAATTTGAGAGGGTTTTAGTATGGTGTTGGTATATAAAATACAGTGTCAAAGTCTTTTGGGTAATAAAGAGGGTTTATGTTAAAGTCATGTGACTCAAATTCATTTTGATCGGGATCAAGATGATTAGAAAGAAACTCACTTAAAACAGATGTTAAAATAAAGATATGTAATACACAATAATTAAATTCGTGCAAAACTCTACCTTCTTCCTTTTACGAGCATATAAGAGTAGGAAACTCAACTTGAGTAGATTTCTTCCTATGCATTTTTTTAAGTTTTGTAAACAAGAAACTTATTCCTATAAATATATAGGAGGGAATAGAATTTAGAAGTAAGTTCAATAAATCTAAAATCGAGTTTAGACCTAAATATTCTTATATACATTTTTAGCATAGTGAATTTTTCATCTTTTGCCCATAGTTATTTTCTGAAAGAGTTTTTTCACGATAAATCTTTATGTTCTTTAGATTCGTCCGAAAGGGTTCTCTATAGATTCTTCTATGGTGAGAATGGTTGATTTAATGAACAATATC